GTGTGTGAGAGAGAGAGAGAAGGAGGGAGGGAGGGAGGGAGAACATTATGGACAGGAAGCACAAGACAACTGATTGGAGGAAGAGAGTTCTGGAGACATTGCTTCTACTGTTGTTACTGCTTTGATATTTCATTTTCTAAACCATCTGGGAATGATTGTATTTGTAAAAAGTGGAATATAAATGTCTAAAATGCCTGATTTTAAAAATGCATTTCCCTGAGCTATTCCCTGGAAAATATGAACACACAGCCACAAGGCTTTCCTGTCATTTCCAGGTTCAAGCCATCAAGTAATATTTGAAATACCAGGATGATGGAAAAGTAGGGAAGAATTTTTAAAATATGTATAGAACAATGGATGATTAGAAACTTTCCTCATTTTGTTGTGAAATGACTGCATAAAGCAGGCACAATACTGATATTTAATGTGTCCTGTATCAATGTATCTTCCACTTTTTAATACTGAATAACACCAGAATCTTTATGATTTTTATGTCCTCGTTGATGAACTAGGGGTGCTTCTGTACATGAGTACCTAGAAGTCAACGGGAAAGGTGGAATGTCCAATATGAACTGCAGCTACTAACAGGGTCCCCTCCTCTCCTAAGCTCATGGCCTCTACATTACATGACTGCCCATGCCAATTCTGCATGAGGGCAGTCATAAGCCTGTTCTGTTCAGTTTTCACATTTTAAAACTACATGAAAAGTTGTGTTTCTTCTTGTGAACAACTCTTTTTACATAACTTTCCCTTACACATATGTTGGTACACAGCCTCTGCTAATACATGCACTTTTGTTTGCAATATTTGAGATGAAAACTGCATTGTAAAATTCAGAGGAGGGAGTGATCCAAAGGGTAACTGCATTCTGATCCATGAATTAGGCTGGGAACTGTAAATTAAGATGACTTTGGTTTAAAATGCTGACTAAATGAGGTTCTCTTCCATCCCTTATCTATTTTTTGGACATGTAAGTGCAAATATGTCCTGTTCCCCCTCACGTAAATATACGTTCATAAGGTACATTCACCTATTTCCTTTCCAGCACACAAGTCTTCACAAAACCATGCTACATCTTCCGTTTTTAAAAGTTTCCAGAGGAATGATTTTCATGTCCCCCTCCTGCTTCCACCATTTCATTCAGGGACTGGTTTATACCAAAAGCCACCAGGACTCAGATCCAACACCTGTTTTTAGTACCAGAGTTGAGTCCAGAGAAGCCAATGCTGACTGGATGGGAAATGATCTGCATATCTGGCCCCTTTCATCTTCAGACATAGAAAACGATCCAGAAGTAGAACATTTGTATAAGAAGGAAGCAGGGGAGGTTCACTGCAGCACATATGGACAGGAAAGGAGACAAAAACAATATTGGGCATCTTAAAAGGAAAAGTCAAGAATGGCACAGCCATGTGAAGCAATCTGAGTGTGGGGTGTTGGTGATGCAATGGAAGCTTGACTGTAGCATGGGTCAGATGCTTGCTGTGAGCACAGCCCAAGAATGCACCTTACAAATTTAATTGCAACAAGCATATGCCTTTCTTAGGATTACAGACTGTCCCATGGTAAGGCAGAGAAAATCAATCTGCCTCGGGAGAACAGGCACAAGGAGATCTTGCTCTTTAAAACTGCCCAACCAATGGCAATATCAGAAAGCCTTTCCCAGATTTAGCTACACTTATTTACCTATGCAGCAGTAGACAGCAGAGACATCTTATCCAACACTTACCACAAATGAAAATCACATTGACCCTACATAAGCAATCCTTAAAGCAATGCCAATGGCATTTGCTGGTGTACTTCATCTTCCAGGCAAACTGCCATGCTGGCAAATGCTTTTAGCATGTACTAGATGCACTACCGCAATGTAACTTACATCAGTGGTAGAGTCACACTGGATACTGTCCATAAGGCTGTAGGCCATAACAGGTCCACAACAGCCCCCTCCCCATAAAATATTTCCCCCACAAACAGCTGGCAGATAATTTGCCAGTATGCAAATGTGCAAGGCAGTTATGAGACTGTGTGGATCCACGGATAAATCTTGATGGCTGGCTGCAACCCATGCACTTTGTATTGCCTGATCCTGGCACTACAAGGACACATGTGCCGAGAAGTGGTAGCTGCCCACTTCACATCCCTGACCAAATGTCCCTCTGCTTCCCAGTCAGCCATGCTGCGGCAGTCCTGTTGTGCACGCCTGTGAGAACAGCTGACAAGGCAGCTGAATGATACAGCTGTTGGCTAAAGCTACACGTATGTGGTGCAGAATACTACAACTGTACCCAGGGAGAGCCAGTGCGTTGATTTTCCACTCCACATAACCTGAAAGAGCATGGTAAGTGTACTCCATCAGGGCTACAGCCTCCGTTATACACACTCTTGCTGTTTCTCAGGTCGGTGACCTTTGTCCCCATAAAGTAAACATGAAAGCTTCACTCCTCTGATCAGCCAGAAGAGCAGCTGAAATATCAGGGAATCTGATTTCCCCAGCAGGTGTGTGGGCGGGAAGAGCCAGTCTCTACTGCAGAGACTTGCTATTGCATGTGTCCAGCATGTTGACTACAATGCAACACACTCCCGATTGAAGAGCAGACTCTGACTCATCTGAAGACGTGGACTGCAGACTCACCATGGAAAACAAGACATGCTCCTTGTTTTGTGCTACAAGTAGCTAGTGTTTCGTTTTTCCTGTGCAAGCTCAACCAACAGTTTATATTTCACCTAGAAACAGCCTGACACAATTATACAGCAATTGTAACACTTTGACACCAGAACTGGCAGCAAAACAGACAGGTGTAAGGAATTTCTGAAAGGGTAATGTAGCCCTCCAAACCTAGCATTTGGCACTATTATATTTTATATAAAATGTACTTTTATGAGATAGGAATTTGGCTGTCGCATCTCTTCTTCCTTCCTTTTTTAAAGGAAGCCACCTAAAAGCTAAAGGAGGCACTTCATACAAAAGGAATATGTGGCTCAGCAGCAGGAGATCCTCTGGAAAATGACAAGTGCAATTTGCATTTCTATAGTTGCTTTTGTGTGGTCAAACTCCCTAAAGCATTTTACAAAGCGATAAACATACCCAGCTAGGAGAAGTGATAGGATGTCAATAAAGCAGAGCCTCTCTCTCTGCAACTGGACATAGCTGCCATTGGATGCATAGCAATGCAGCCACTTTGCTGTAAACATGAGTGCCAATTAATCTGGGCTGGTGAGAGAACAGAAAGCTTCTGCCTGCAGGCAATTCTTGCTTGCTTGCTTGCTTGCTTGCTTGCTTGCTTGCTTGCTTGCTCTCTCTCTCTCTCTCTCTCTCTCTCTCCATCATCATCATCATCATCATCATCATCATCACCTTTTTTAAATGTAGTTACCTAGGAGACTAAAGAATGAGGTGGGTTCTTTGCTGTTGCTTCTACATAATACATATATATGGTGACACACACCATCACCCTACAGACCTCCTTCTCAAAACTTACCTCTCTGAAATGCCTTTTCCTTGACCCCTTAAATCCCCCTACTCAACTATAAACCCAAATGCAACCAAGCCCAGATACGCATAGCTGTACAGTATTTGCTCACATTTATCCCTTGCTATGCTTGTAACCGGCCCTTCCCCTTTCTCAGTTTAATGTAATGTCCACTGTCCTATTTATACTGTAAGATCTAGATGGGCCAACACCTGTCTTCTTCCTTATGAAACTCTGTAATGTGTTATGAGCATGGAGGATACAATAACAGCACAATAATGCCACCAGTAATATAACAGTATTATAATTTTATACTATTATTGCATTAGTCTTCTGCTTTTTCTCCTTTGGCAAGGAATGCAAGATGGGCTACATAAACCTCCTCCTCCTCTCCATTTTATCCTCACAACAAACCCTGTGAGGTAGGTGAGGCTGACACTCAGTGACTGGACACCCTAGGAGTTTCATGGCCAGGTAGGGACTAGAACCTGAGTCTCCCCAGTTCCAGTCCAACACTCTAATTGCAACACCACAATAGCTCTCCCCACTGGTAAAAACGGACCATTTCCAGCTTTGTGGAACACCCCATCTCGACATGTCATGTTGTGCTTCGATCAAAGGACATTTCCAATGCAACAAAATGTCAGTCCTCTGATAACAATGAAGGCATCAATACAAATGATAGCTGTGACAGGCCTCTCTCTCTCCTCTCTCTCTACATCTGTCTTGTCAAGCTGTTTCCCTTTGCTTAGCATTCATACATATGTACGTCTATAAATTGCTTTGCATTTATATAGTCTTCATGTCTTACAAAACCTTACAACAGCCCTACAACTCAGGTCAACTTAATTATTCCTATATTGTGGGGTGAGGGCAAGGGCTGAAAGAATAGGGTGGGGCTTCTTTCTCCTCTTTCTTACTTCAAAATCTCACATCCCATATGTGCTTTCTTCCAGGATGCCAGTGCCTCATCATCAATCCAGTGCCTCTGGGAACAGCTCAGGGGCTTCCACGATCAGGCCTGCCAAGACTATATTTCATCAGTGCATGCACTTTATGCAGAAATGCTCACACGGCAGCAAAAGCAGCCTTGCGACTATCCTCCAGGGGTCACAATTGGGTTACAAATTCTATACAACGTGATGACTGAGCAGCCTGATTTAGAACAATTTATTCACATCCTTCTTCATTAAGATTCAAATGGAATAAGTAATGTAGAAATTGAACAGATACAGAAAATGTGCATAGCTTGCTCCTGTAGTCAGTAAACATTTATTCACTAAGCAGAGATCTCTCCTGCTCTATCCCCCTTCTCATACTCTTTCTTCCTCCCCATCCTTTCTGCTTGCTGTTTTAATGCATAATTAAGAAGGTCAGAATTAATGAAGCAGTGTGGAGTAAAGTTCAAGAAATCCCCAGGCACTATTTATTCTATTAGATCTCAGGCGTGAATGTCAGATTGGCAGTGTTCGAGGCAGAGGCAGTTAAGCTGGCGGCATCCCAGAAACAAAACTACCAAGGGAGACTTACCTGCAGTGTCAAGTCATTCCTGAGCTCCTTCCCTGCAAAAATCACACGCAACTGGTCAGCTGGAACTCCCTGTCGCTTAGCAACCGCCTCCTTGAGCTGGAAGATGCTGGTGTCTGAATCAACCTCCACTGGGAAACCATGGCTGGAGTTGAACCTGACAAACACTGACCAAGAACAAGACATTGTTTTTTTTTAATGCCTGAATATTTTGAAGCCAGATACATCAGAGACTGATGTAAGGAACAACACTTTCTGAAACATGGAGAACTGGCACAATGGTATTGTAAAACCTTAGTATGCTTTATCATTTTAAAAGAAAGAACAATGTCATATTTCAGTTTATTATTTCAAAAGGCATTTCCAAGTAAGGGTTGCCATTAGGTAATTGTTTAACTAAGTAAACATGGATTATGTTTCAGACATAAATTATTCTCAGTATACAGAATCAACAAGCAGAGTTTATTAGCAAGATGCAGAATAATCACTAATTTCAATTTATGCTTGCCCTTGGAGAGATCTGAATTTATACTCTGCAAGTATGCACATCTCAAGATGTGTACATATCTCTTCTATATTCCATGTGTGTGCGTGTGTGTGTACACACATACATACCATATCAAACCTATGTTTGAAAAAGTATGCTTGCTAGAATGTGTGCCTAAAGGAGCTTTTGAAAGAAAGCCTTTTTTAAAAAAATACAGCCACACGGATTCAAATATACTTGCCTCCCAGAGATACAATTGTCTAGAAAATAATGATGGAGGGAAAATTATATGCTGCTTGCAGCATTTAAATCTTTTCTAGAGCAGTCTGGTCTTTTGCAGAGTTCACTTAAATAACTGTAGTACGTAACTCCTGCTAATGTATTCATGCAGTGCCAAAAAAATACTGCCAGACTCAGAGCTACATCAATTGGTCAAGATATATCCCAACATTTGGCAAATAAGCTGTACACTGCTGCTATTCACAGGGTAGAATTGCTTTTTCAGGATAACTCAGAAATGCTGTCTTAGAGAAGCATATTATATGCCTTAAATTTAGATGTAATTGATGGTAGTTGTGAAAAGGCATTGCAGCAAATGGTAAATGAAGAGAAGCTTTTCTCTTAACACCTCCAAATCTACTTACATGTGAATATTTAGTCCTACACCCTATTGCAAACATACAAACAGAAGGACAATATTGTGATCTCTTGTTTTCTGGGATTACAACTTCCATCTGTCCCATCAACATAGCTGAAGCTCAAGAGTGATTGAAGTGGTAGTACAAAACATCCAACAGACAGCAAATTGCCTACTTTGGATAGTTTATAGGCACAGACCTTTCACTTGTGCCAACATACACTATATCCCCCAATAGCAATCTTTTCTGTCTCATTTCTTGGTATTACTCGTATAATGCAACATGGAACAGAATACTCCAACAAGTGATATGCGTGCTTTTGAACTGCACCTTTCTACATGTGGAAATGCCCCCCTCATGAAACAGCTGAGAAAACATATTTTTTTCTCCCGACAGAAGTGTCCTATTTTTTTAGGAAGTGTATTACCTCAGCAGAGGAACAACTTTCAGCCTGTAAATTACTAACAGTAATTACATAGCAGCATCAGTTTCTTTATAAGTACTACCTGTGGATGGAATTCTGCATAAGGACACATGCAATTCTTTTCTCTCGCTCTTGCGAGGGGGTGGGGTTCCATGCTGGTAAGAACAGCAGGGGTGGAATGAAAAACAAATATTAAAAAGTATTTCTGAAAGTCTTAATCTGCCCACCCCAGTAAAAATAAAACTGCTGAATAACAGCACTAACTTAACGAAGAGTTGTTCAGAATTTCTAGTCTTGTAAATTAGTATAGAATATGCACATTTGAAAATAGCCATTGCTTGTGGTAGGGCACAAAGGAATCTGTTGTAGAGTTTAGCGTAAGAGAATTTTTCCTGCTCAAGTTCTGTTAAGAACCATTAAAGGAGGGTTCCTAGAGCACAGCTTGAAGATTCTCCACATTTCAAAGGGAGAAGTCCCTTGTGAGCTTTTCAGAGCTCGACCTGCCACTGTCTTCCCTGTGGCAGTAATTTTTAAAAAGTTTACACACCACATCTTTGTCTGTTATCCTCCTCATACCCAAATAATAGGATTCCCTTAAGGAACAAACTCTTAAGAAATGATTGAGATGCTCAGTCCACCACTGTGCAAAATAGCCTGAGGCCACTTTTGCCATGTTACATTATGTGACATGACCTGTTTGCTGAAAGCGATATATAATAAACATATGCTGCTACAAAACAGGCCTGCAACTTTTGGGGAAGGAGGGAAATTACCATTTAAAACTTCAACATACTTTAGACTTTAGCAACTCCTCATATTCTTCCATGATCAGCCCAAGTTATTTTAAAGCTTTTATAAAAATAATTCCTATTTCAGAAAATCAATAAATGATAGGAAAATCCTCAAAGTCTTGGTTGGCTTCATTGAGAACACTGAGGAAGAGTTAAGACTAAAAGTGATGCCTAAGATCCATTTTTATACAGTTTCATTAACACAGAAAATAAATTAATCCTATGGATTCATTCTGAAAGGCATCTATAATTTTTGAATGCACTGTATCTGTACAGGATGCTTTATTTAAAAACGCACGCACACCTTTTAGTTTTCTACTGCCTCACATCCAAAGCTCTTTACAGCACGCTTCATAATCAGCAAAGAGTAGGTGAGGCATATAGCGACAGCTGAGATTTATTTATTTATTTATTTATTTTTATTTAGAAAATTTCTATGCCGCCCCATTCGCCAAAGCCTCAGGGCGGCTCACAAACATAAATAACTTTGATAAAATAATATAAATTAACAGTATAAATTAAGTCGCCCTGGCCAAAGAATAAAATAAATAAATACTATTAACAGTTAAAATGACATTTGAATAAAAAGGTCTTCACCTGGCGCCGAAAAACAAATAACGACAGCACCAGGCGGACCTCTCTGGGGAGCGCATTCCATATGTGGGGTGCCACCGCAGAGAAAGCCCTCCTCCAAGTACTCACCCTCCTAATTTCCTTCACAGAGGGTTCCCGGAGAAGGGCCTCTCCTGCAGATCTCGGGGGGGTGGGCGGGCATATATGGACTTAAGCGCTCCTTCAGGTAACCAGGACCCAAGCAGTTTAGGGCTTTATAGGTCATCACCAACACCTTGAATTGGGCCCGGACTTCAATGGGAGTGAAGCTGACAGAGGACTGGAGTCATGTGAACATAACGCCCAGTCCCCGTCAGCAGCCTGGCAGCTCTATTTTGAACCAATTGAAGTATGCGGACCGTCTTCAAGGACAGCCCCACATAGAGCGTGTTACAGAAGTCAAGTCGGGAAGTCACCAATGCGTGTGTCACTGTCGCCAGGCAGCATTCGCAGCATTCCTGACCCAGGCTGTCTGGCATTCATGAATGTTGGAGTTCAGAATGTCTAGAAGGTACCGGGCTGGAAAAGGTCAATCTAAGAAGAGCTGCATTCAGCAGAAGGCTAGCCAGATGGGACTATCAAATCTCTCCACCCTGTTCTGAACATAGTTTTAATAACTGTGGAAGTTTGTCATACAAGCTTTAATAAACATGAGAGCTGAGAATCACACTGTGTGTGATTTGAATGGTCAGTGATCCATGAGCATGGAATGCAGCATGTTGTTCACCTCCCGATATATTACCATTGCATGCTGCTCCCAAACTCCTTTTTGGAAACATAAAGTGGACTCCGGGGGATGGTGGAGGACAAGAAGGCCTGGAGGAATGTTGCCCATGGGGTCGTGATGGGTTGGACACGACTTCGCGACTAACAACAACAAAGGAAGTTGAGAAGCGAAAGCAAAAGGAAAAGCCATGAGTAATTATGCAAGTAGTACTCAGCTTTCAAGAATCTAAAGGAAAAGAAAATTACGTAAAGGAAGTCCTAGAAACATTTTGGTGATTATGAATGCTAGATGTTCACAGTCACAGAGACCTGAACAGCTCACGCCATGCCAGAGAACAAAATGGGTGCTTCACACAGAGGTCAGTATGCGCAGAAGCTTCTTGGGGAAGAAGGAGTAATGCAAATTGGGCAGCTGTCTGTATGGACCAACACATGAAAGCCCACATCACACGTAACTTCATCTGCCTGCTGGGAGGTAACAGTACATGCCCCACAGGTTGTCACTACCTGGATATGCCAACCAGGATTCTGTGTGTCTGAGAAAGAAAAGGGAGAGAACGCAACCTTTGTTCTCCTTCCAATACCATTGACTATGGATTTTATTTGTTCACTTTCCTGAATAGAGCAGGAGTCAAATTTCAATGACCAAAGTGCTACACAGGCCCCTTGCTACTCATGAGTTAAAAACGCCTGCATTTTCACTAAAGCTAAAACGATTGATCAAAGTGGTATCAACCACGCTAAGGATTATAACTGAAACAGATGATGAAACAAAAATGCAATAAAGCAATATGCACCACTTGGCCAAGTATCAAAAGATTAGATCACCACAAGCCTTTCTTCCCCATGAAAAAAGGACATTGACAAATGAACAGCATTATAATAAATTTTAATGAAATAGTTAATCTTTCACATACTTCAAATTAGTAATGCGGTTTCAAATTATTCACCATTGTCCTCTCTTTAATTTAATTGTTTTTTCCGTACTACAGAACAGCTCTTGGTCTTGTTGCTCTCCAACAAACCTGGAAGAATTGTTGTTCAATGATTTAATACCTTTTCAATATATATAGGCCATATTTGCATAACATATAATACCCTTAGCAGAATATTCATCTTTGCATAATGTTTTCTACCAGTAGAAGATAAAGGGGCGAGAGAACAGTATAATAAATCCTGCTTATGCTATTCTAATGTTGCTGGGACATTGTAACTGCTTTATTCTGTCAGAAACAGTTGCCTTCAGATATTTAATTCTTTTTTGTAAAAGCCAGAAAGGTCTATTACATCATGTAAGTACTCCTCTCCCACAGAACAATGGTTTCAGTACTAAATTAAAATTTATGAGAGACAAAAGGTTCCCTGTGCAGCATCAACTGCAGAGGTTATTGTGAGATGGGGTAGGGCAGAAAACGGAAAAATGGATAAAGAATCCTCTGTTGTTTGGGGGGCTAGCAACTAATGCAAAATGTGTTCAGAAACCCTTTGG